TGTTCCTGTCTCCAATGTGGCGACACATCCAGGAGCCGTCTGAGGAGAAGCCCAGAATCTCACATCCTCTTCAGCTCATAAAGTGCCCATATGATTACGCACAAGCGTGACCGGTCAACCACCGCAGACCGGGTTGGACCTGTTCAGGTTTACGCAGACAATCTACATTTAGAATTGGCATACAGGTGTAAAATTAATGCAGTAAAATATAAAGCATTTTATTTAAATGTCCATTTATTATTTTACAAGCACAGAGAGTTGCATCAGATGGATGGAAGAGCCGCATGCGGCTCCAGAGCCGCGGATTGCCGACCCCTGTGCTAGCCTACTTTATTGTCCCCAGCAATTTTTAAACCCCACTCAAGTGTATGGTTATTGTCCCCAGCAATTCTGAAAACAAACTGACGCCCTTGGGTAGAGCTAAAAAATTTACTCGCCAAATGGAGCAATTTACTCGCATTTGGCGAGTGGCGAGTGTTAATTTCGGACCCTGGATGCAGACCTGTCAGGCATAGGGATCTGGACCCAAAAGCAAGGCTGAAGGTAAAAGGCAAATGTCCTTTATTAAGGCAGAGGTCAAAAAGCAGGTAAATATTCCAACAAGCAAATCCAAGTTAGCTGGCAAAAAGAGCAGAAACGGATGCACCAAAACTAAAGCCTGATTCATGCTTCTCCGTCAGCTCCGCAAGGGACAGACACGCACGGATTGACGGAAGCGTTTTGCTCTCAGACTTCTCCGTCTCCTGGAGAGTGTTGCAAAGCAATTCCCCACCAGGACAGCAGAGGTCGTAGTGCTGTTCTGTGGTATCCTGTCATGTATCGGTCCAAGATCGTGTGTTTATATTGTGTTTTTGTGTATATATGAGACTTTTAACACGGACAGATTAGTCTCTCGTTCTCCTCCACCTCTTCATGCGCTCGCCACCTCTAAACCCACGTTTCCTGTCGTTTCCGTCCACAAATAAAACACTTGCTGCGCATCTTTTCACTCCTCCAGTCACGGGGAATTAAACATTCATGTTTTTAGAGTTTTTTCGCGAGGTATTCTTCAAGCTGCTTCGTGTCTGCCGCTAGTTATCCTCGGCTCTCTTTATGTTTCTGAGGGCGCAATGGCGGTGGTGTAGACGACAACGGCGTCCTGACAATCACAGGCTTGCGTTGTCCGTCTCGACTGACGGATGTTTAGAAAAGAGAGCTCGACTCCGTCCGTCCTTGCGGAGCTCTCCAGCAGGCCCGCAAGGACGTTGCGTGTCTCCGCGCTGACGCAGACGGAGAAGCATGAATCAGGCTTAAGTCAAAAACACTGAGAGCAAACACTAATCAGGGCTGGAACGAAGAGCTAGAAGACAACAACGAACTGGCAACTGAAAAGGGGAACAGAGAGAGGTTAAATACAAGTGAACACAGCTGGGACGAATCTGGTTAACGGACAGGAAGTGACACAGAGGAGAGAGGAGGATGTCAAAGTAAAACAGGAAACAAAGAGCTGGGCTCCTGGCAGGGTGCGACAGAACCCCCCTTCAACGTCCGGCCCCCGACGGACCAGGGAGAACAGCTCGGCGGGTGTCGAGGTCCCCAATAAGAGAGGAATCCAAGACATCACGGGCCGCCACCCACTGGCGCTCCTCAGGGCCATAACCCTCTCAGTCCACCAAAAACTGGCGCCCACAGCCACGCCGCTGAACATCCAACAGGCGGCACACGGTGTAGACAGGCTGACCACCAACGAACCGGGGGGAAGGGGGAGGTGGGCCAGCAGGAACCAAGGGACTCACAGGAGCAGGCTTGAGCCTACTGACATGAAGAGGAACCAAAGAGTCACATGCGCAGGTCTGGCGTCCACACTCACTCGTTGCCCAAGCCTCCGCTCTCCCCGACAAGTGTGAGATGATAAAAGCAATCTTGGCTTTATCAGTGGGGTAGGAATTAAGCAAGAGTTCAAAGTGAATTGAGCACTGAGTGAAAAAAGCCAAGCAGTCACCAGAATCTCCAGAGAACTTTTCTGGTCGAGCGAGCTGCGGCTGTGGAGCCAATGAAGACGAAGGAAGTGGCGGAACAGGCATGCCCTCCGGATTCAGTTGGGCAGCAGAAGCGGCAGCGGCAGGAGCACAGTCCATGTTAGCAGGATGCTCATCTCTGGGCGGAGGCTCCGAGTTGCGCCACAGATCCTTTATCTGGCTGATGAGAATTCCCAGTTGTTCACCTACGGATGTCATAAACTGTTCCTGTCCAGCTGACATCTGTTGGATCCGCTGGTCGAGGTCAGCAAGATGCTCCTCCTGCTGGGGCAGCCTCCTACCTTGAGCACCCAAAGTGCTAAGTACTGGTTCTGAGCCTGCTGGGTCCATGTTGGCCGGTTCTACTGTCAGGCATAGGGATCTGGACCCAAAAGCAAGGCTGAAGGTAAACGGCAAATGTCCTTTATTAAGGCAGAGGTCAAAAAGCAGATAAATATTCCAACAAGCAAATCCAAGTTAGCTGGCAAAAAGAGCAGAAACGGATGCACCAAAACTGTCAAAAATACTGAGAGCAAACACTGATCACGGCTGGAACGAAGAGCTAGAAGACAACATCGAACTGGCAACCGAAAAGGAGAACAGAGAGAGGTTAAATACAAGTGAACACAGCTGGGATGAATCTGGTTAACGCAGGACAGGAAGTGACACAGAGGAAAGAGGAGGATGTCAAAGTAAAACAGGAAACAAAGAGCTGGGCTCCTGGCAGGGTGCGACGCTGAAGCTCAGATCACCAGACGTCTCACGGGGCCCGTGAAGGACCGAGGTCTTTGGAGCCGCTCGTGAAAAAACACGGCTGCAGCCGGGATTAACAACAAGTTCTGTCCAAGCTAAAAGGAAGCTCATAACCACACAGAACCCGCCCCCGGCCCCTTTTACAACACCATCATGTAATGGTTTGTGAGAAGCACCTGATCACACCACGTTACCGCCACAGCCTGTCCACTTCTGAATGAACAAAGGCTCCCTGGTGTCGCCCCAGCGTTGCGGCTATAGACAGATAAAGGGGCCTGAATGTTGCTGGGCCCGGATCGGCTCGTCTTAGTTTCTCAGAAGTTGCTTTTCTGCTGGACTTTAAACCAACGACCATCTCTAGGGTCTACAGAGACTGGTCTGACCTGTTCTAGATGATAGAAGGACAACAGCAGCCCAGATCAGCTCTGGTGCGGTATCTTTTACTTCGGACAGAGCTGTTTCCTTTGACCTGTTCTCTTATTCTGTTTTTATCCTCGATTATTTATGCTGTCTTCATGTATTTGACCTGGTTTCCATGTTTTTGCTGATATGTTCGAGCATTTGGCTCTTTTATGTGCAGCACTTTGGTTAGCTATGGTATAAGGGCTGCAGAACCACCAGACAGACTCCAGCAGCAGAAGACCACACCAGGTGTCTCCTGCCAGCCCAGAACAGGAACCTGAGGTTACAATCCATCCAGGATCACCAGAACTGGACCAGAGGAGACTGGAAAACCTTTCCTGATCTGATAGGTTAAGATCTGAGTCGGGTCAGAACCTGGTGTCACCAACATGGAAGCATGGTGATGGTGGGGGTGTTCTGGTTCCTTGTTGGACCCCTCTGTACCACCTGAACCTTGTTTAAACACCACAGCCTACCGGAGTAGCTGCTGGCCATCTTCACCCCTTTATAACCACATGGACCATCTTCTGATGCTACTTCCAGCAGGATCATGCACCATGTCACAAAGCTCAGATCATCTCTAAGTGGTTTCACTGGACTCCAGTCACCAGATCTCAGTCCAGTCCAGAGCCTTTGTGGTGTAATGGGAGCTTCTCATCATGGATAGAGCTGATGTGGTCATGTCAGGATGGACCAGAACATCTGAGGAACATTTACAATACCTTACTGGATCCAAGAATGACAGCGGTTCTGATCTCAGGGTTGTCATCATTCATTCTTTCCTTGCAGGTTCTCACATCTCCTCTCCGTCCATCAGTCTGTCCCAGTTCAGCGCTTAAGTGTTCTGAAGGTTTTTAGTTGTTTTACTTCCGTAGTCTCATCTGTTACGGTCTACTGAAGGCAACATTTGGTCATTTTTCTCTTTTGTTTAGACAAGCCAGCTGGACCAGACTGGAGTCTGGAGAATACGAGGGTCCAGAGACCTTTGGGGTCTAGAGAATGCAGAGGTCATGTAAACAGTCTGACCGACAGCGATGCATGTGGAAACGTGACTGGTCCTCATAAACCACTCAGAGAAAACAGAAACAAGTCCAGCGGGAACTCCAAATATAACAAACAGCCTTGTGACTGGATGTTCTCACCACCCGTCCGTCTGAGGCTGGAAGAAGAAAACTCCTGAAGAGGAAAAAAGCACTTTTCTGAACTGGAGAACCAACCGACGGGTGAGCTCTGAGTCTCGTCCTCTGTGCCAGAAGTCACCGGGCGGATGAAGGCCGCGTCCCTTTTCAGCAGCAGAAGAAGGAGCAGACGCTTCATCCATCTCTGTTCTGTCTAAAGGTGACCAGAAAGCTTCCAAAACATCTACAAAAGTTGGCAACAGTTTCCGATTTCCTGGACGGACTTTTGAGTAAGATTTTCTCTCAAAACGATCAGAGTTGTTACGAGCATCTCGAACCTGTCTCGAACCTGTCTCGAACCTGTCTCGGATCGTCTACAGTTATAACTTAGGGAGGAATTTGTTCATTTTCATTACCCACCAGTCAGGCTATGGTTACTAGCTACACCTGCACACGTGGCCTCCGCACAACACAGAACATCTGTTCAGAAAGGCCCAGCAGGGTGTTGAACCTGCAACCTTTTTGCACCAACACCTTCACCATGACAAACAAACTCGGACTTGTGGCAATAAAACTTTCATAACTGCGGTTTGTTTGCGTTTACCCCAGTTAGAGGTATAAACCAGTTCAGTGTGATGCTGGATGCAGACGCAGAGAGAGATCCAAACTGGGACCGAATGCAACAAACGTTTGTTTCATTTGTGTCACAGCCGGCTGGTTGTTTGTTTACCTTGAGTGTTAGCAAACAGCTGGGACACGTTGGCACACGAGACGGTGACCACCTGCCCCACCTCGGCCCGGTACCAGCAGCCAATGTTGTCCCAGTGTGTTGGACAACCTGAAACGAGAAGACAAAACAAATCCTCCAGAAGGACGACGAGCATCATCACAATCACATCCTTTCCCTGCAGACGTGAAGAAAAATGAGTCGTTTTAACTTGAATACGTTTGTTACAAACTGCAGGTTTTACTGGTTTTAGTAGATTTAAAACCAGTTTAGAGGTTTGCTAAACTCCGTCTGGGAACAACCTGGATCACCCAGGAGAGGAGAGGAGAGGAGAGGAGGAGAGGAGAGGAGAGGAGAGGAGGAGAGGGGAGGAGGGGAGGAGAGGGGAGGAGGAGAGGAGAGGAGGGGGAGGGGAGGAGAGGAGGGGGGAGGGGAGGAGAGGAGATGAGAGGAGGGGAGGAGAGGAGATGAGAGGAGGGGAGGAGAGGGGAGGAAAGGAGAGGAGGAGAGGAGAGGAGGGGAGAGGAGGGGAGGCGAGGAGAGGAGAGGAGAGGAGGGGAGGAGAGGGGAGGAAAGGAGAGGAGAGGAGGAGAGGAGAGGAGGGGGAGGGGAGGAGAGGAGGGGGGAGGGGAGGAGAGGAGATGAGAGGAGGGGAGGAGAGGAGATGAGAGGAGGGGAGGAGAGGGGAGGAAAGGAGAGGAGGAGAGGAGAGGAGGGGAGAGGAGGGGAGGCGAGGAGAGGGGAGGAATGGAGAGGAGAGGAGAGGAGAGGAGAGGAGAGGAGAGGAGAGGAGAGGAGAGGGGAGGGGAGGAGAGGAGAGGAGATGAGAGGAGGGGAGGAGAGGAGAGGAGGGGGGAGGGGAGGGGAGGAGAGGAGAGGAGGGGAGGAGAGGGGAGGAAAGGAGAGGAGGAGAGGAGAGGAGGGGGGAGGGGAGGGGAGGAGAGGAGAGGAGGGGGGAGGGGAGGAGAGGAGAGGAGGGGGGAGGGGAGGGGAGGAGAGGAGAGGAGATGAGAGGAGGGGAGGAGAGGAGATGAGAGGAGGGGGGAGGGGAGGAGAGGAGAGGAGGGGGGAGGGGAGGGGAGGAGAGGAGAGGAGGGGAGGAGAGGGGAGGAAAGGAGAGGAGGAGAGGAGAGGAGGGGGGAGGGGAGGGGAGGAGAGGAGAGGAGGGGAGGAGAGGGGAGGAAAGGAGAGGAGGAGAGGAGAGGAGGGGGGAGGGGAGGGGAGGAGAGGAGAGGAGAGGAGGGGGGAGGGGAGGGGAGGAGAGGAGAGGAGAGGAGAGGAGGGGGGAGGGGAGGGGAGGAGAAGAGAGGAGAGGAGAGGCTGGTGAGTGTCTAGGTCTCCCTCATGGATCCATTACTTCCCAAACCGACCTCTGGTAAACGGAAAGCGTCGGAGTAGAAGCAACAGATCTCCCTCCATCAGCTGTTTGATGACCTCAGACCTCCCTGCTGCTCCGACCTCACCCCCAACCTGACTCCTTTAAATGTTCCAGATCAGTGTGTGTGGGTATGCTCGCGTGTGTGTGAGAGAGAGACGGTGGTAATGAGGGGCTCGTCTCTGCACCACCACAACGCCTCGTGCATCAAAGCTCCTCCATCCTGCGTCGGCCGCGCGGAGAGTCAGCGCCACTCATTCATAATAAAACACAGCTCTGGCGGCTGAAGCCGGTCCTGCTGCCAAAGCTGTGAGGAAGCAGACATCTCCACGGACAAACGTGGCTTTGAACTTCTCTTTTCTCCTTATTTTTTTCTTTCTGTCGTTATAATTGCACTTGCAGAGAGCTGCAGATGACAACTTCATTTGTCATCTAAACACAGAAAGCTGTCCTCCAGGCTGGTGGAACCAATAAAGCTTCTTCCTCTTTGTAAGATCTAACTTGTGACACTCTGGCAGGTTTTAGAGGGAATTAATGTACGTGTTCCTTTCATTTCTCATTACTGGTAACTTCTGTCTTGTTTGCAGAAAGTATTGGATGCAATCTCTGTAAATCCCTGCAGCAGCGACACATTCCTGAAGGATCGGTGATCTCAGTGACAAACTGTCTCACACACACGCACACACGCACACACACACACACACACAGCCAGATGTTTCATGCTAAAGGTCCCACTGGTTCTGAGAGGTTTGTTGTGTCTCCATAAACTGGTTCATCTCTCAGGTCCAGAAGCAACTCCTGAATGATGCCGGGTCTGAGGGAGAAGACATCGGCAAACGTCATCCATTTGTGCAGTTGGAAGAGTTGCTGTAGAAGCGTAGATAAAATAATGAAGAAAAGTCGCAATGACTCTGCTTTAAAATCGCCGTTTCTAAACTCCCAACACAGAAAAATGCCGCCAAAACCGCCTCCAACGCCGTAATTCACCGTGTTTCGTCTCAAAGAGAACTGTAAAAAACTGAGCTTCTTCTGGTCATTGTGTGGTCGTCACACAGCCACTCTCCCCGTCCTCCGAGTGGACGGCGTAGGCCTACTTTGTCAGAATAAAAGATCTTTAAAGGGACAATATGGAAGTGTGACAGCCAAAACATGTATAGAAATAATAAATATCTTCTTCATACATTCTCCTGCAATGCCCTGGTCCTGTAGAATGAGCCCTGGCATTTTTACTGGGATTGCCTGTTTTTCTGTAAAATCACAGAAAAAGAGAGATGCTCGGGTCGAGCAGGCTGCTTCATGCGCGTTCACGCTCAGGCATCGCCCGTAGCATTTGCTATCCGTAGCTTTAGCAGCAGAGAGAGAGGCAGTGCCACTTTGTCGCTGTTCCTAACGCCTAGTGACAAAGCTAGCTACATTTCTGAGGACCCTTAGCTACTTTCTGTAGAACTTTCTTCTAGATATTTCCTGCTAATTAGCAACAAAATAGCCATTTTCACTCTGAACCGTTCTTTGAACGTTGTTTCAGCTGTCATCAAGGATATAAATGTTACAGATACAAAAGATGCCACTGGTGCTTTAGCTCACCTAGTAAGGCGGCGGACTCTCGTGCGGAAGACCCAGATTCGATTCTGGATGTGAACATAGTTCAATTAGAGTTTCTTTTTTACATTAATGGTATATTTTTTTACAGTAAGACGCCCACATTTTTATTTGAGACTCGCCGAACGGCATTGAATTCACAGATAAAAAAGATGTGGGTTCAACTTTCATTTTGGATCAATTTTTCAAGCAAGGGAAGGGAATGATCTGAGCATGCAGGAGGACTGACCCATCATAAACCTTTGTCGGCTGTGCTGAAGAGAAAGGTACAGAACCACATTATTTAATTAATTAGCTGCACGTTCTCCTGTCCTCTGTCCTCCGGGCCACACACACACACACACACACACACACACACACACACACACACACACACACACACACACACACACACACACACACACACACACACACACACACACACACACGCACACACACGCACACACACACAAAGGGACTGTCTCAGCTGTTATTTTCGTTAAGGAGTGTGCACGTACAGCATGTGCGCCTCGTGCACGAGCCTACTATTGAAGCTGCCGTTACGCTTTTGGCCTGAGGGGGCAATCGCGCTATGGCATCAGAATTCCGCCAACACATGTGCACGCGTATTGTCCACATCGCGCGTGCGAACGGGACTCGCGCGTGGAAGTTAGAACCTCACGAGTGAAAGCAGTCGAGGTTTGCTGACCTCTTAGCAAAGTCCCAAAAGGGAGGATTTTGAGTGAAGACACAATGGTTGAGAGCATCGCACCGTCGTATCTCCTGGTCAGCTTTCCCAGAAATTTCCCGAACCTCCTACGGTGGAACCACGGCTAACGCTGCATGTTTGATGCGATTCCAGGATCGTATTTCCTCCAGCCCGAGCAGTAAAAGGTCAGACCTGACTGTTTTAAGGACTTTTTTCTACTGTCCCACCTGCAGAATCCAAGGATTCACCTGTCTGACATTTCTGTATTTGATAAAAGCCCAACTGGCTGAAGTTATGAAGAAAGATTTTTCATTCTGTGAGGCGGACATGAAGAGGAGAAGAGTCTTAGATCGATCAAATGTCAGCCAGGATGTGAGGTCTTTATCTTCTCCTCAGAGGTAGTCTGCTCCAGCTCTGTTACTCACACACGACACCTCTGACAGGACGTTGCTTCTTTGCACCACAGATGTGAGAGAAGCTACATTTGGTCCTCTGTGAGCTTCACCTTTACCTCTCAGGGTGTTTGTGGTTTGGTGTATGTTTTATTAGTGACGCCACGAGGAAATAAACCATAAAAACAGCCGTTTATAACTATGTTTTACAAAAGTATCAACATATATGCAGAAAATCCTGCAGCGTCCATTACTATCGGCAAGCAAATGAGGGCAGATGAAAGAATTTCCTATTCAGACGACACGTTTTACGGAAAAGGCCTTCATGCTTTCTTACACTCGACCTGTAAAAGCAAACCTTGTTTATCTCCTTTATAAACAAACTCTTTTGTGACCACAGATTGTAAACATAGTGACCGGTCCTCCATCTTCTCTGAACTTGTGCATCATCCAGACTTCCCTACAAACATCCTCACCTGGTTTTTGTTCTGGAAAAAATAGTTGGGAGGCACTGCTCTAGCCTGTGGCGTAGTGGGAACCCATCCATTCGTTTTCCTCCACTTATGCGGGGTCGGGTCGCGGGGGCAGCAGCCTAAGCAGGGAGGCCCAGAATTCCCTCTCACCAGCCACTTGGGCCAGCTCCTCCAGGGGAACCCCAAAGTGTTCCCTTCATAACCGTCACTCCAGCGTGTCCTGGGTCTCCCTTTGGGTCTCTTCCCAGTAGGACATGCCCAGAAAAGCCCACCAGGGAGGCGTCCAGGAGGCATCCAAATCAGATGCCCGGGCCAAGGGAGAGTGCCGATGATTAACAGCTGTGTAGTGTAAACGGAACGGGGGCGTTGCTGACTGGTCGTGAATGTGCGTGTAGCTGTGTGCATGTGCGCTAGGGTCGTCCTTAACAGGACGGATGGGTCTACCCCATCACAGGGAGGAAACTGGAGTACCTGGTAAGACTTTACTTACAGTTGTCCCTGCACTGGCCACTCAGGAAAACGTAAATACTCTATCTGGTAACTGGATTCACCTCTATACGGAGGTCAAGGGTCACAGCTTACCA